CCCGGGCTGTGATGTGACCAGCTCTGCGGGTGCCCCCGTACCCCCAAGGCCCTTGGTAACGAACCCCCCCCACTCACAGAGGAGGACACTGAGGCCCCGTGGGCCAGGTGACAGGCTGGCCCTGGCTGAGTCAGAAGGAGCCCCCAGGTCTGCCCGAGTTTTGTGGGCGACATAAACGGCAGGGACACAGGGGTCTCTCCCGGGGAGGTGTGCGGGGCGCGGGGTGAGGCCGCTCTTGCAGGTGGGGTGCTGCTGGGGCCAACACATGCCTGCTGAGATGGGCAGAGCCCAGCTGGGCATCAGCACTGCAGCTGTTAGGGAAAGACTCATGAGGGCAGTGAGTGTTTGGTTTGGGTTCAGGGCCACACCCGACTCTGCGCTCCAGCTCATGCCTGTCAGGGCTTGGGGCATCATGCGGGACTCGGGGGATCCGACCCTGGTCAGCCCCGTGCAAGGCAAGTGCCTCCCTGCCATGCCAGTGCTCCAGCCTTGGGAGGGCGGAGAGTGGCCCCGGGCTGGTGGGCTGCAGTTTGCAGGACATTGGGTGTCTAGAAGGGGCCTAGAAAGGGCCTTCAGAGACCAGGCCGGGAAGGCCGGGTGCAGAGGGGGGCAGGTGGTCCCCCATGATGCTGCCTCCGTGTGGTACCTACCCTGCCCCCATGCCAGCCCCTCTCGGCTGGTCCCCTGCACTCAGTACCAGTTCCTTTGTTTTGTTTTTTGGGTCACACCCAGTGATGCACAGGGGTTCCTCCTGGCTCTGCACTCAGGAATCACTCCTGGCGGTGCTCGGGGGACCATATGGGATGCTGGGAATCGAACCCGGGTTGGCTGTGTGCAAGGCGAACGCTTTCCCCCCTGGACTATGACTCCGGCCCCAGTACCGGTTCCTTTGGAGCAGGTGGCCAAGGTGCGGAGAATGGGTCAGTGCCCGGAGCGCTGGGGGGGGTCTGGCTTGCACCCTTGGAGTGACCCCTTTGTGCAGGGCCTGTGCCCGGATCCACTGGGCCTCCTTTGAGCCCCCTGTCTGGGCTCAGTGGCTCGGTTCCTGGGGCCCTGCGTGCCAGCCGAGGATACACTTGTTAGCTGGTGTCTCATTTGTCTCCTGGGTTGGCAGCAGGGTGCGAGGCATGTGTGTGTGGGGGGACACACAGCACCCCTTCCCAGCTGGGGTGTCTTAAGTTAAACACAAGTTTCATTGTGGGGGGAATGCATTGCATAACAAATGGCCCAGCTCATCAGCCAAGACCCCTGCGTGCGTGCATGTGTGTGCGTGAGTGCGTGTGTCATGCATGTGTGCACGTGCGTGTGTGCATGTGTCATGCTTGTATGTACATGTGTGTGTATGTCATGCATATGTGTGCGTGCATGTGCACGTGTCGTGCAAGTGTTTACATGTGTGTGCATGTGTGTGTCATGCATGTGTGTACATGTGTGTGTCATGTGTGTACGTGCGTGTGTGCCTGTACATGTGATGTGTGTGTATGAGTATATGTGCATGTGTATGCGCGTGTGATGCCGGTGCCTGTGTTTGTGCATGTGTGTTCGCACACGTGTGGGTGGGGCGGCAGGTGGCCACGTGCATGGCGTGTGCAGGACAAGGGCTCTTGGAGGTGCTGTTAAGCCTCCACTTGAACCCTGAGGGTTTGCCTGGTCAACAACGGAGAACGGTTGGCATTTCAAGGGGCAGACGCGGGCCAGCGGGCAGGACCCCAGGTCCGAGGGGACCTATCTGTGATGCCGCCCAGGACAGAATCAGGACCGTGGGCTGGGGGTGGCCCGGCTGCCAGAGGAGGACGAGGGGCCTGTGAGACCCCAGGGCCTGACCCACACGGAGCCTCCTGTCAGATGGGGCCAGGCTGGGACCCCGGCCAGGGGGAGGGGGTCCCCAGCCTAGGGTGTGCTGAGGACGCTGCTGGGCTGTCACCCGCACTAGCCGTGGGGGAGGTCGAGGCCCACGGGAAGCCCAGGCAGGTGGTCACTTGTTCCCTCCGGCACTGCCAGGAGTGACCCCCCCCCCCCGCACAGATCAGTGAGCAGCTTTTCCATGTTGACACTTTCACCTCACAGAGCTTTGGGTTCAGGACCCCCAGCCTTGGTTTTCAGAGGGAGGGTGGGAAGGGGCGCAGGGGGGAGGAAGGTAGATCTTTGGGTCCTGGACAGGGAGCCCAGGTGGCCCAAGGACTCCCTGGCCAGTGGGGTTGAAGATGCACAGTGGGTGGGGCTGGAGCAATAGTCCAGCAGGGAGGGCTCTTGCCTTGCACACGGCCGACCCGGGTTCAACCCGCAGCGTCCCATAGGGTCCCCTGAGCATCACCGGGTATGGCTCCACACACATACACGCACAAAAATAAATGCACAGTTGGGGCCAAAGCCATAGTGCAGGGGTAAGGGGCTTGCTTTACATCCCCGGGAGTCAGGTAAGCCCCGAGCACAACCAGGCAGACCCCAGACCCTCAAGCCATCCCCCCTGGCGTGGAGCTGGAGAGATAGTCCAGGGTCGAAGGCGCTTGCCTTGGTTTCGTGGGGGTCACACTCAGCCATGTCAGAGGTTGCCCCTGGCCGTGCACTCAGCGGTCACTCCTGGCAGCACTCGGGGGTCCGTGTGGGATGCTGGGGATTGGACCCGGGTTGGCCACGTGCGAGGCAGATGCCCTCCCCGCTGTACTGTTGCTCCGGCCCAACCCCAGGCTTGTTTTAGGGTTCTGTGTTTGGGCCACTTCTCACAGTACCTGGGGGTGGGATACTTTGAGCTCTGTGTTTGGGGGTTCTCCCTCTCACCCCATTGGATCCCCCGCGTCTCATGGTCTCTTGAGCACTGAGCTGAGAGTAGCTACTGAACACTGTCCAGTGTGGCCCCCACATGGGGAGGCGGGAGAGCTCAGTGGGGGAGCACATGCCTCGCAGGAGTCCTGGGGGGGTTACTTGTTTCCCCCAGCACTGCCAGGAGTGACCCCCAGCACAGAGCAGTGAGCAGACGTGACCCCCAAAACTAGGGCCCATTCATAAGAAAGGAACAGCCGCACTTTTCCATAGTGACACTTTCCTTTTTTTTAATTTAATTTTTTTTGACTTTTGTATATTTGGGTCACACCCGGCGATGCACAGGGGTTCCTCCTGGCTCTGCACTCAGGAATTACCCCTGGCGGTGTTCAGGGGACCCTATGGGATGCTGGGGAATCGAACCTGGGTCGGCTGCGTGCAAGGCAAACGCCCTCCCCGCTGTGCTATCACTCCAGCCCCAGGTGACACTTTGTTTCAGCTCACAGAGCTCTGGGTTCAGGAACCCCAGCCTTGTGCCATATCGGGTGGGCGGGGCTCACCTACCCTGCAAGGGCGGGTTTGTCAGCCTCTGCTGGGCTGGCCCTTCTCAGGGGGTTAGCCCTGACCACTCCCTGGGTGTCCCCCAGGGTCCCAGGGCAGAGCCAGAGCGATAGTACAGCGGGCAGGGTGCTTGCCTTGGCGTCCAACTTGGGTTCCAATCCTGGAACCCCCGTAGGTCCCCCAAATGCCACCGGAAGTGATCCCTGAGCCCAGAGCTAGGTGTCAGCCCTGAGCACTGCCAGGAGTGGCCTTAAAAAAAAATTGAAACAAAGACGGGGCTGGAGCGGTTTTGGGGAGCGACTTTCGGGGAAAGTCAGGGAGGGCGCTTTCCTTGCATACGGCCGACCCGGGTTCGATCCCCGGCATCCCAAAGGGTCCCCGAGCACCGCCAGGAGTGATTCCTGAGCGCAGAGAGAGAAGGAACCCCTGAGCGTCTCCAGACATGGCCCAGAAAACACGAAACAAAAAAAAAAAGAAGTCGGGGGCCATGGGGGTGGGCACTGCGCCCCCGGGAGCGTGTTTGTCTGTGATCCGGCTTCCCAGCAGCCCCTGCGCCCTGCCCTGAACCAGAGGCCTGGTGACATGCTGACCTGTGTTCTGATGGCAGGTGGCAGCCTGAGTGTTGCTGCCGTTCCCACTCAGCCCTGGGCACAAGTCGAGTATCTGCCCGCCGACAGGCCGAGAAGCCGCTGGATGGGGCCAGAGCGATAGCACAGCAGGGAGGGCGTTTGCCTTGCACGTGGCCGACCCGGGTTCGATTCCCAGCATCCCATAGGGTCCCCTGAGCACCGCCAGGAGTAATTCCTGAGTGCATGAGCCAGGAGGAACCCCTGAGCATCACTGAGTGTGACCCCAAAAGCCCCCCCCCCCAAAAAAAAAAGCGGCCTCTGGATCTCCCGGCCCTGAGCCTGGGCCGCTGCCCACTGAGCCCCCGGGCTGCTCCCTGGCCCGGGCCCTGGATGGATGCTCGGGGTGACTCCGCGCGCCCCCAAGCCCCTCTCTGGCCACTTCCTCCGCCCAAGGAAGCACCGAGCAGGACTTGGAAGGGGGGCGTGGGGTCAGGTGGCTCCGGTTTCGGCCGCCCAGCCCGCCGCCCGCGCTGATCCCGCAACCAGACACCTGGGCCCGCCACGCAGGTGCCGACAGGTGGGCCCCGAGCCGAGCCTCAGCGACGGGCACAGGCGGGCGGGGAGGGACGGGCGCTGCCAGCTGCCACCCCGCAGGCCTGCTCAGGGAAGGGGCTTGTGGAGACTATGCTGCCCCGGGGAGCCCCCCGCACGCCCGGCCGCACCCCACTAGGCCGCACCCGGCAGGTAGGGCTCCTGGGGCCCAAGGCCGTCGCCGGGCCCTTCCGAAGGTCCGGGCCTGCTTCCGACTTTCGGGGTGTCGGGAGATGAGTGAGGAGCGGGGGGGTCAGGCAGTGGGCGGCAGATGGCTGCGGGGGTCCCTTCCTGCCGACCCCCGCAGCTTCCTGGGCACGATGAACTGACCGTTTCGCTGGGCGGAAGAGAAGGTGACCAGCTGCTGGGCGGGCTGGCTTGTGGCTCCGTGGGGGGTCTCGTGCCAGGTGGGTGTCACTGCATCCCACCCAGGGCACCAGGCCGCTCTGGGAGTGTGGGCTCATCGCCCCCAGCTCACACGCCTCTCCCCTCCTCCCCTCTCCTCTCCTCTGCCTCCAGCCCGACCTGCTCAACTTCAAGAAGGGATGGATGTCGATCCTGGACGAGCCGGGCGAGGTAGGAGTGGGCGGGGGGGACTCAAGGGGGGCACGGGTGGTGTTAGAAGAGGCCTTGGAGGGGGCTGGAGCAATAGCACAGCGGGGAGGGCGTTGGCCTTGCATGCGATCGACGTGGGTTCGATGCCCAGCATCCCATAGGGTCCCCCGAGCACCGTTAGGAATCATTCCTGAGTGCAGAGCCAGGAGGAACCCCTGAGCATCGCCGGGTGTGACCCAGAAAGCCAAAAAAAAAAAGGATTTGGGGGCGGGGTGGATAGGAGGAGAGTGGCAGGGAGGTCACTCGGCACACAGCCGACTCGGGCTCAATCCCCGCCACCCCGTCAAGTCCCCAAACACCACCAGGAATAATCACAGAGCCAGGAGGAAGCCCTGAGCATCACCGGGTGTGGCCCCAAAACAAAGGAAAGGGGGGGCCCTTGAGGGCCGAGGAGAGCCCCACGGTCGCAGGCAGGTTCTGTGTGCAGGAAGGAGTCGGGGCTCCTCCCCGGAGCACCCTCGTGGGTGGCCCAGAAACCAAGGGAGAAACCCGAGTCTTGGACTGTGGGGCCGCAGGGGTGTGTTGGGTCCTCCCCTTGCCCCCCGGCGCCCCATCCCTGCACCCGGGTCTGTGGGGCTCTGCGGCCGGCCCACCCTTGGCTGCCACCAGGCGGGTCCCAGTTCCAGTCTGTGAAATGGGCCCGCGGGGTGGCCGTTCCGTCCCAGGCCGAGAGTGGGGTCTGGGGCTGCCGCTCTGGCCCGCCCTGCCCCCGTCGGGTCGGCCTTGGCCGTATCGGGCACAGTGTGGCCTTCCACTGACCCTTCCCGCAGTGGCCGAGCTGGAGCCTGGAGCTGAGCTGGCCAGTGGCCCGGCCGGCGGCTCTGCAGCCCGCGGGGCGACCATTGTTTCCTCCTCACGTCCATCCCCGCCGGCCCGCGGCCCCCCGTGCCCGCGCTCGCCGGCCGCCTCCCCGGTGGCCGCGTTCCAGGCACACACAAGGCCTGGCCACCTGCCAGTGACCCTCCCCGCCCCGGGTCCCGGGAGGGCGGCCTTGCGGCCCGCCCGGCGCTGGCCTTACTCACCCCCTTCCGCGGGGTTCTGGAATGTCCGGGCTGGAAGGGCCCCGGGGGTTCCACCCGCCCGGCCCCCACAGCGCACGGGCCCCCGAGCTCCGGAAGATGGGAGCGGGGCACCCCGGGGTGTGGGGCCTTGTCCGGCCCAGCGCTGGCAGAGGCGAGACCGGGGTGACCCAGAGGCGTGACTTGGCCCAAGACGTGGGTCTTTCCGAGGGCCAAGTGGGCTTCAGGACGGCTCCTGGGCCGCTCCACACGAGCTCCTCCCAGAGGACCCCCCCAGTGGAGGGCCAGCCCGCTGCCAAGGGCCGCGAAAGATGTGCCAGGGCGGGTCGGGTGCCTTTCACCTCACAAGAACCCGCGGGGACGATCGCTGATCCTCCTTAACAAGCTCAGAGAGGTCAAGATACCTGACTGAGGCCACACAGCTAGAAAGGGAAGGAGAGTCGGAACCGGCATCTCGGTTCCTAAAACCGTTTTTTTTTTCCTGTTTGTTTGTTGGAGTGCACACGTGACAATGCTCAGGGCTTACGCCTCTCTCTGCACCTAGGAGTTACTCCTGGCAGTGCTCAGGGGGGACCTTGTGGGGTGCTGGGGATCGAACCCGGGTCAACCACGTGCGAGGCAGACGGCCTTCCGTGGTCCTGTCTCTCCGGGCCTCGAGCCTGGGCAGTGTGGGTGAAGGAGCAGTCCTGGCATCACAGATGGGACGCAGCAGCTTCTTCCGGGGAGTAAACCGAGGGCTGGAAATGAGTCTGGGTTGGGCGGGCCGCGCTCAGGGCATCCCCCGAGGACCAGGCTGGGCGCTGTGCCCCGACGTGGGCAGTGGGTGGGCCCGCCGTGGCCCCCGTTGGCAGGTGGGCACAGGCTATGTTCAGCCGTGGCCCTCTCCCGCCCACCTCACTCCGTTTATTACCGGGTGCGGAGGGTGTCGGGGTGCCCGGGGTCACTGCTGCCACTGCCTGGGAGTGACCAGAGCGGTCTGGAGCCATAGTACAGTGGGTCGAGCACTTGCCCTCCATGCAGCCGACCCGGGTTCAATCCCCGGCATCCCATACGGACCCCCAGTCCCACCAAGAATAAGCCCTGAGCACCTCTGGCCGTGGCAGATAAAAATAAAATAACTGGGCCGGAGCAGTAGCACAGCGGGAGGGCGTTGGCCTTGTACCCAGCCGACCCAGGTTCGATCCCCGGCATCCCATAGGGCGCCCCGAGCACTGCCAGGAGTATTTCCTGAGTGCAGAGCCAGGAGCAACCCCTGAGCATCGCCGGTGTGGCCAAAAAGGCAAAAAGAAAAAAAATACCAAAGGTGGCCCCTAGGGTTATTCCGGGCCTTATGGGGTCCAGGCATGAGCACTGTAGTTGGCCTCAGGCCGGGCAGCCTGTGCCGTCTCTCGCCCTGTACCCGCGTTGACTGGACTCTGGGTCCCAGCTGGGTGACCGGGGTGACCGGGGTGGGGGCTGGCCCCGCCGCGTGGGCCCGGCCGCTGACCGCCGCCTCCTCCGTCGCAGTGGAAGAAGCACTGGTTTGTGCTCACCGACTCCAGCCTCAAGTACTACCGGGACTCCACTGCCGAGGAGGTGAGCCCCGGGGGCGCCCTGGGGTGGGGTCGGGGGTCAGCCAGGCAGCCCCCCGAGGCCGCGCATCACCTCGGCCCCTCCCACCGGCAGGCAGATGAGCTGGACGGGGAGGTGGACCTCCGGGCCTGCACCGACGTCACCGAGTACGCAGTGCAGCGCAACTATGGCTTCCAGATCCACGTGAGACCCCGTGGGGCGCCCCTCCGGGAAGGGTCCGGGGTCGGGGAGCCGGGGCGCCTGGCGCGTGCCAACCCTGCCGTCGGGCTTGCAGACCAAGGACGCCGTCTACACCTTGTCGGCCATGACCTCGGGCATCCGGAGGAACTGGATCGAGGCCCTGAGGAAGACTGTGCGGCCCGCCTCGGCGCCCGATGTCACCAAGTACGAGCTTGGGGTCGGGTGGGGGAGGGGCGGTGTGGGGGCCCTCGGGGGCTCGCGGCACTCGACTCACCATCGGCACCTTCTGGGCCTCAGTTTCCCCGTCTCCCCAAACCCCATCCAGAAATGCACAGCAGACCCGGGTCTCCATCCTGTGTCCCCGAAAAGGGGGAGTTTGTCTCTGAGCCGAGAAAGAGGGGGGTCACATCCGAGTCCCTAGCAGGAGCAGGGGTCCCCCCTGGACGTCGCGAGAGCAGAGCCCCAGGGGCTGTGACCTGGATCGGGGGCCAGGAGACAGGGGCCCCCGGCACCTGCGGGGCCACAGCTGCGGGCAGTGGCAGTGGGAAGGGACTGTGGGACTCGGGGCCTCAGGCTCAGCCCTACGAGGGCAGTTCCCGGGTTGGACCTCTCCAGTGTTGGGTCCCTGGATCCAGATCCTAACCCTGCCCACGCCGTAAAGCAACCTGATCACAACCCACGTCCTAACCCAGCACTAACCCAACCCTGGCGCAGGACAACCAAAACCCTGACCCAACCCCAACACTGACGCACCCTAACCCCAACCCTAACCTGGCGCTTAGCCTAACTCAGTCCTAACCCAGCTCTAACCAGCCCTACCCCAGCTCTACCCCAACCCTAACCAGCCCTAACCCAACCCTGGCACCGGATAACCAAAAGCCTGACCGAGGAGGAACCCAGCCGACCCTCACCTAACCCCAACGCTGACTCACCCTAACCCCAACCCTAACCCAGCCCTAACCTGAACCCTAACCCCACCCTAACCAGCCCTAACCCCAACCCTAACAGGATAACCCAGCCCTACCCTAACCCAACCCTAACACTGATGTACCCTAACCCCAACCCTAACCCGGCGCTTAGCCTAACTCAGTCCTAACCCAGCTCTAACCAGCCCTACCGTAACCCTAACCCAAACCCAACCAGCCTTAGCCCAGCCCTAACCCAGCCCGAACCCTGACTCAGCAAACCAGCCCTAACCCCAACCTTAACCGGCACTAGCCCTAACCCAACCCTAACCCTGACTCTGCCTAACCCCAGCCCTGACCAAATCCCTAGCCCAGAACTAGCCCAGCCCTGACCCCGCAGCGGCTGTCTCTGTGAGGCCGTCGGGGGTGGTCTCTGCAAACCCCATGGGGTTTTGTGTTTCTTTAATTCTGTGCTGGTATTGGGGGGTCACTCCCAGCAGTGCCGGGGGGGTCAGCCCATGGCCTCGCACACTGACCCACCCCTGTGCCTGCACTTGGGTCGCGTCCCTGACGCCCCTCTGGAAACTTGGGCCAGTGTTGCAGCCAGAGACACCCCGAGAGGGTGGCTTCCGCCAGTGGGTGTCAGTTTTCCGGAAGAGCCCAGAGCTTTGCCGCCTAGACCCAGTGGGCAGCTCTGCTTCTGGGCTGGAGCCCGGCCTTGGGCCTCAGGCCCCGCCAGGAGCCAGGCCGGAGCATGGGCCGGCGTGCGAGCATGGCCATGTGACCACACACACTGCAAGGGACTCCGGGAGGTGTAGTTTGGCCCAGGTGGCTGTGCCCTGAACAGGCCCAGGGTCAAAGGTCCCAGCCCTGTGCTCGGGGGCCCCTGGAGGTCAGGTCACTGCAGCTTCTTGGTGTCGCCCCATTTCCGCGGTGAGCTGTGAACCCTTATCTGCAGCCGGTCTCTCTTCCTCTTTTGTTTTGTTTGGTTTGGTTTCTGAGTCACACCCAGCAGTGCTCAGGGCAGCTCCTGGCAGGGCTCAGGGGGCCAGGTATGGTGCCGGGGTTCGAACCCTGGGCTGGACTCGTGCAGGGCAAGCACCCTCCCCGCCGTGCTGTTGCTCCTGCTCCTCTGGTCGTTCTCTTTTATTATTTATTTATTTATGCTCAGGGGTTCCTCCTGGCTCTGCACCCAGGAATTACTCCTGGCACTGCTCGAGGGACCCTATGGGATGTGCTGGGGATCGAACCCAGGTCAGCTGGGTGCAAGGCAAACGCCCTCCCCGCAGTGCTATCACTGTGGCCCCTTGGCCGTTCTCTTAATGAGCCTGGTGGAGTATTTATGTACCGTTTCCCGGTATTTATTCAGAGCCAGTGCAGGGGCGCACAGTAGGGAGACGACTGCGTGTGCTCAGCGCAGGCGGCCCGTCCCCAGCTCCTCTAAGGAGAACCGACGGGTCAGCCGCCGTCTGCAGAGGGCCTTGACTCCCAGTCCCGGCGGCCAGCATGTGGGGGAGTCCTGGGGGCCAGGGTGACAGATGGGGAAACTGAGGCCCAGCAGCCAGTGGCAGGGATGGGGCGGGCCTTGCTCCTGGGGGCTGCTCGCGGCAACACTCTGGGTGTGTGCCGCAGCCGAGGCTGCCGCCTCTTGGGCCAGATCACAGGGTGGGGGTCAGATTCGGGGGGCCCCCTCTGACGTGTCTCCGCGCCGCCCCCAGGCTCTCGGACAGCAACAAGGAGAACACGCTGCACAGCTACGGCGCCCCCAAAGGCACCCTGAGGGCGGGAGAGCCGCGCGGGGGTTCGACCCGGAGGTCCGACGGACCGCGGCCGGCGCTGGACTACGTGGAACTGTCGCCGCTGAGCCAGGGGTCCCCGCAGCGGGCGCGCCCCCCCACGCGGCCCCTCGACCGGCCGGCCAAGCAGGAGGAGCTGGAGCGGGACCTGGCCCAGCGCTCCGAGGAGCGGCGCCGGTGGTTCGAGGCCACAGACGGCGGCAGCCGGGGCTCCGAGCCGGCCGCGGGCACCGGGGAGACGCCTCGCCGGGGCCTGGGCGCCCCCCTGACCGAGGGCCAGCAGAGCCGCCTCAGCGAGGAGATCGAGAAGAAGTGGCAGGAGCTGGAGAGGCTCCCACTGCGCGAGGGTCGCCGGGTGCCGCTGTCCGCCCTCCTCAACCAGGGCCGCAGCGACGGCCACGAGGCGCTGGAGAGAGAGGTGGGCCGGGCAGAGGGACGCGGGGGGCGCTGCTCCCCGAGCACGGCCCGTGAGTTCCCGCCCGCATCCCCTCCGCTGCCGTCTGGTACCACCCCCCCATCACAGTGTCACCGAGGGGAAACTGAGGCACCGAGCGGCTCCCCAGTCTCCCACCGTCCCTCCACGCCCGGCTCAGTCTGGGCCTCCCGGGGGCCCTGCAGGCCATGAGTCCAAAACCTCTCCCTGTCCCCCTGGCCCGTCTCTCGTCCCCGCTGCGCCCCCACGGCCCCCCTCACTCGTGCGACCCCCCTCCCCAGGTGCAGTCGCTTCGAGCACAGCTGGAGGCGTGGCGGGCCCGCGGGGAGCCCCCCGGGGCCCAGGATGACGGCCGTGTCCCCCCAGGCTACATCTCCCAGGTGAGGTCTCTTCTGCCACTTGCTTTCGGGGTGCAGGGGGGGTCTTCTCTGGCACGTGGCATCCTGGGGGCTGGGGAGACCCTCATTGCTGTCCCCAGCCCTCGGGAGGGAGAGCCTCTGGCCCTGGGGGGTCCCAGTGACCTCAGAGCCCAGCCTTGGGGAGCGTCCGGGGACCCTGCTCAGACCGCTCTCCTGCCCCTCCTGGGGAGCTGGGAAGCCAGCCCAGCATGAGAGGCCCCCGAGACGAGCCCCTGGAAGCCCCCCTGGACTGGGAAACCCCGTGCATGGTGGCCGGGAGGCTCGGCAGGTCCCGCAAACCTCTGGACACTGAGCACGCAGGTGTGCGCGGTCAAACCGGAAGTACTTCAAGGACATTCGAATGAAAAGGCCTGATGTGGCTTCTGTGTGAATCATGGCCCGGCCTCGATTTCATGAGTGCCGGGAGCCACAGGTGTCCTTCTAGCGAGTGCTGGTGGGGGTTTGTGTCTGCATTAATGCACAAAGAGACCCGGGTCTTCCCCTGCCCTCCCCCCAGGGGGCTTCAGAGACCCTCCTGTGTGGCCACAGCAAAGCTTTCAGGGCAGGCGCAAGGCTGCCCAGAGACAGAGCTGGGGGTGGCAGCCGGGCTGCAGGCCGAGTGAGTCACCGGGGGAAGGAGTTTCCAGAGACGCTTGCAGGCAGCGGCAGGGGTGGGGACTGATGGTTGGGAGGCCGGGCAGGCTGGCGTTGTCGTCTTTAACTCTGGGGAGGGGCAGGGGGCTCCCCACCGGGCTTAGGGGAACTGGGAGCCTTGGGGAGTGAGGGATATAGGAACCGTGTGGAGGCAGGTGCTCCAAGATTCACCTTCAGCCCTGAGAGCACTGGAGTGACCCCGAGTACCACTGAGTGTGGCCCCCAAACCAGCAGGAAGATAGGACTGCAAGGATGCCGTCTGCCTTGCTCACGCCCGACCTAGCTTGGATCCCGGCACCCCATGTGGCCCCCTGAGCCCCACTAAGTGACCTCTGAGCTCCGGGCCAGGAGTCAGCCCTGAGCACCGCTGGGTGTGGCCCCAAAACAAAAGGGAAGAGGGGCTGGAGCAACAGCATAGCGGCTAGGGCGTTTGCCCTGCATGCGGCCGACCGGGGTTCGATTCCCAGCATCCCATATGGTCCGCACGCACCGCCAGGAGTGATTCTTGAGTGCAGAGCCAGGAGGAACCCCTGAGCATCGGCGGGTGTGACCCAAAAAGCAAAAAAAAAAAAAAGGGGAAGAGAGAGCTGAAGGGCTCCGGGTGGGGGCGGGCTCCAGGGGTCCCGGCGGCACCCGGCGCTGGCGTCAGCCCCTCCGGCCCGTTGCAGGAGGCCTGCGAGCGCAGCCTGGCGGAGATGGAGTCGTCGCACCAGCAGCTGATGGAGGAGCTGCAGCGGCACCACGCGCGCGAGCTGCAGCGGCTGCAGCAGGAGAAGGAGCGGCTCCTGGCCGAGGAGACGGCGGCCACCGCCTCGGGTGAGCACGGCCGGGCGCGGCGCCGGGGCCCCCCTCGGCAGGGCTGGGGTCGAACCCCGGCACGCCAAGCTGGGTGTGGGGCCGGCCCGAGCGGGGCGCCCGCCGAGCCCCTCCCCAGCTGGCCCGCCTGCAGCGCCCCCTCTCGCCTCTGCCCCCTTCCAGCCATCGAAGCTGTGAAGAAGGCCTACAAGGAGGAGCTGAGCCGGGAGCTGAGCAAGACTCGGGGCGTCCAGCAGGGCCCCGATGGCCTGCGGAAGCAGCACCAGTAAGAGGGACCTCAGGCCGGGTCTGCGGGGCGGGGCTCCCGGCCTGTGTTAGATTCGGTGGGCGGGGCTCCCGGCCTTGTTAGGACCAGTGGGCGGGGCTTCTGGCCTGTGTTGTGACCGGTGGGCGGGGCTCCCGCCTGTGTTTGAGTCAGTGGGCGGGGCTTCCACCTGTGTTTGGGTCAGTGGGCGGGGCTCAAGGCCCGCGTTAGGATCAGTGGGCGGGGCGCCGCCCGTGTTAGGACCGGTGGGCGGGGCCCCGGGCCTGCGTTAGGATCAGTGGACAGGGCTTCCAGCTGTGTCAGGGTCAGCAGGTGGGACTCCCGGCCTGTTAGGATCAGTGGGCAGGACTCCCACCCTGTGTCGGATCAGTGGGCGGGGCTCCAGGCTGTACTGGCCAGTAGGCGGGGCCCCCCAGTCCTTGTCGTGTCAGTGGGCGGGCTCCAGGCTGTGTCGAGGTCAGTGGGCGGGGCTCCCAGCTGTGTGGGGTCAGTGGGTGGGGCTTGCCAGCTCGTGTCCTGGCTAGTGGGCGGGGCTTCCCGGCCTGTGGCTCCCTAGTCTGGATCCTGGTGGACGTTGGGCAGGAGTATGCCCCCTGCTGAGACTCAGGCTCTGTGCTGTGGCCCAGGGAACAGCTGCAGTGGGTGTTCAGCCAGACTTCTGCACCCACCCGTGTAGTCTTTTTGGGTTCTCTTGTTTGATTTGATTTAGGGTCGCACCTGGTGACGCTCAGGGCCTACCCCTGGCTCTGCAGTCAGAAATTGACTGAGCTCGGGGGACCCTGACGGGCTGCTGGAATCGAACCCGGGTTGGCTGTATGCACTGCAAACGCCCTCCCTGCTGTACTAGCACTCGGCCCCCATGTCGTTTGGGGGTATTTTTTTAATCGCCGTGCTGGGGACCGAGCCCGGGACGCACGCAGGCATTGCCTGCAGCCCGCCTCCGAGCTGGCCGGGGCTCTGGAGGAGTCCTAGACCCCCCGCCCTGCGGGGGCAACTTCTCCCCACGCGCCAGGGTCCCCCTAGGGCTGGGCTGCGCTGCCACGCTCGGCCAGCGGGCGTCGCTCTCGCTGCCGCCGCCGCCGCCGCTGCCACCGTGCACGGGGCCTGGAGGCGAGCACTTGGCGAGGAGCACCACGGGGCTCGGAGGCGAGCACGGCCGGGCCGGGGCCGGCGGGCAGTGACGACCCGGCCTCCCGCGCAGGTCGGACGTGGAGGCGCTGCGGCGCGAGCTGCAGGTGCTGTCGGAGGGCTACTCGCAGAAGTGCCTGGAGATTGGCGCGCTGACGCGGCAGGCCGAGGAGCGCGAGCACCAGCTGCGCTGCTGCCAGCAGGAGGGCCAGGAGCTGCTGCGCCACAACCAGGTGGGCGCGGAGGACCCCGGGGGGTGGGGCGGCGGGGAGGGGCGGGGCGCTCGCTGACCCCCGCCGTCCCGCCCGCAGGACCTGCACGCACGCCTGTCCGAGGAGATCGAGCGGCTGCGCAGCTTCATCGCGTCGCAGGGCGCGGGCAACGGCTGCGGGCGCGGCGGGGAGCAGCGGAGCTCGTGCGAGCTGGAGGTGAGCCCGGAGCAGGGGCGCGGGGGTGCCAGGATCCTCGCGGGCCCGGGTGCCAGGGTGCCCACGGGCCGGGGTGCAGGGGTGCCCGTGGGTCGGGGTGCGGGGATGCCCGTGGATCGGGGTGCAGGGGTACTCGTGGGCCAGGGTGCGGGGTGCGGGGAGGTGGGTTCGGGTGCAGGTGGGCGCTGCGCTGGGGCGCAGGGGGGAGGGACAGCGCGCTGGGGTGGCCTCTGCCCCGAGTGAGCCCGGGTCTGCGCCCCCAGGTGCTGCTCCGGGTGAAGGAGAACGAGCTGCAGTACTTGAAGAGGGAGGTGCAGGCCCTCCGGGATGAACTGCAGACGCTGCAGAAGGTGGGGCCCGGGAGGCCATCGGGAGTGGGCGGGGGCCGCCCAGAGCACAGCCAATGGGGAAGGGGGTCCCCGCTCATAGACGGGTCTCGTGCCCACAGCAGGCGCTTTGCCACGCCTCCCCACGGCCCCGCGACCCCCTTCCATGGACCGACAGCCCAAGGCAGGGAGAGAAGGGTCCACCAACCCAGGGTTCCCTGTTCACGGAGCAGAGTGGGCGGGGTGGGGGTGGGGGGGCAGTGATGACCAGAGGCTGGACAGCCGGCAGGGGCAGGGCTGCACCCTGGCACCGTGCTCAGAGCCTGCCCGGCCCCCAGGACAAGCGCTTCAGCTCCGGGCAGTACCAGGACGTGTACGTGGAGCTCAACCACATCAAGACGCGCTCGGAGCGGGAGATCGAGCAGCTGAAGGAGCACCTGCGCCTGGCCATGGCGGCGCTGCAGGAGCGGGCCGGGCCGCGCAACAGCCTGGCCGACTAGAGGTGGGCAGCGCCCAGGGGTCACAGGCCAGGACTCGGTGGGGGGAGGGGGGGAGTGCCCAAGGGTCACGCACGAGACAGCCTGGCTGACTAGGGGTGGGCAGTGCCCACATTCAGAGCCGGCCAGGGGTCATGTGTGTCCCCCCTCCCCTTCGCTCTCTGATCTCAAGTCACCCACAGCCCAAAGGGTGTCAGGCGTGGGGGCTTGGGGACCCAGCAAGGGCCCAACCCCCACTGGCATTTCCTGCAGCCCAGGGTCCCCTGGAGCTCTCTGGCGGCTGCCGTGGTGGGACTGCTCTGTTCTGTCATTCCCTTTGTCCCGGACTCTGCCTCAGGTGCTCACGAACAGGCTCTCGGGCCGTTCCTGCTCCCCACGGCTTCAGGGTTCCACTGATCCCTTGGGTGATCCCAGTGGGGGGGAGCTGCTGTGTCCCGTGGCCCAGGGCCACACCCACAGTATCCTCCACGCCCGAGTCCTGTGGCGCCCGTCTGCCTGGGTGTGGATGACTGCAACGCTGTCAGGGCCACCTGGGCAGCATCTGTCCCCGCCCGTCCTCCTCCCGCCCACACTCCCCAGCTCCCTGCTCTAGTGCCTGTCCACTGCCATTTGGAACCATCTAGAGGGGGGTTTGGGAGCACTCCCGGCAGTGCTCAGTGCCTGGCTCTGTGCCCAGAAATGATCCCAGCAGTGCCCGGGGGCCATTCAGCCCGTTTCTGCTGCCTGAGCTTTGGGCCCTTGAAAGAATCTTTTTCTTTTTTCTATTTGGGTCACACCCGGCGATGCACACACAGGGGTTCCTCCTGGTCTACACTCAGGAGTCACTCCTGGCGGTGCTCAGGGGACCCTATGGGATGCTGGGGATCGAACCTGGGTCGGCCACGTGCAAGGCAAACGCCCTACCGGCTGTGCTATCACTCCAGCTCTGAAAGAATCTTTTCCGATTGGTTGGTTTGGTGGGTGTTTGGGTACCAGGGATGCTCAGGGGTTACTCCGGGCCCTGCACTCAGGGCTCACTCCTGGCGGTGCTCGGGGCACCCTGTGGGATGCAGGGGATGCGAGGCAGACCCCCTCCGTGCTGTACCGTCGCACCCCTCGAGAGGATAGGGCGGTGCCTCTGCCCCTCCGCCATGCCCCTTGGCTGCCCTCAGTGTGACGACAGGCTCGTGCTCCCGCCTCGGTGCTCGCAGTCTCAGCTGTGGGGCTGAGTGCTCCAGCATCTTTCCCGGTGGTGCTCACTCGCACCCTTGGTGTCTGCACACGGCAGCCTCGGGGCAGCTGAGAACACCCGTGCTGGGACCCTGGTGCACACAAAGGCCAAGTGCTGAGATCCCCGTGACCGTGTGCCTCCGAGGCGGGTGCTGGGCTGTGTGCACTGTCCGGGACCCCAAAGCCGCCTCCTCCCTCCCTCACTCACTTTCTTTTTTTTTTTTTCTTTAAATTTTTATTAGCGAAACACCATGAGGTACAGTTGTAGACTTAGAAATTTTTGTGCTTGGGTTTCAGTTATACAATGATCGAGTACCCATCCCTCCACCCGTGCCCATTCCCCACCTCCAATGCTCCCAGTATATCCCTCCTACCCCCTTCCCCCCATCCCACCCTACCACTGTGGCAGGGCATTCCCTTTTGTTATCTCTTTCCTTTTGAGTGCTGTGGTTTGCAAAAGAGGCACTGAGTGGCAATCTTGTTCGGACTATAGTCTACTCTCATCACGCATCTCCCATCCTGAGGATCCTCCTAACACCCTTTATTTGGTGCTCCCTTCTCTCGCTGAGCTCCCTTTTCCCCTAGCGTGTGCGGCTGGCCTCTATCTCACTTTCCTTCTTCCTGTTGTTTGGGACCCACGCCCAGCAGGGTTTGCTTAGGTACTACTCTCAGTTCAGTGCTCAGGAGCCCACTGGGTGCCAGGGAGCACAGACCGCACCGTGGCCCAGACACCCACGCGTGACCCCCCTCTCAGCCTGCTGGGGGGCATGGCGGGGAGCGCATCTGGCCCTGGCAGGGGGCTGAGAGGTTCTACCAGGACCTCCTGACCCCCCTCTTGCCTCTGCTGTGTCAGGCGGGGGCTCGGGGCCCTGCCGGGGCCTCCCCAGCCCTCAGCTCCGGGCGCTCCTCTCTTTCAGGTCCTGGACATCCAACCCTCCTGCAGGTCCCGGCCACAAGCCCGTCACCCTCCTGTCCTGCCGGACGGAAGTCAGAAGCCAAGCTTTCTCCCCACCTATGAGGGCCGCACCCGCACACACACCCGCAGAACACACAAGCCCAACACACCCAACACACAGGCATGCCCACATGTGCACGGTCTCACACACACACACACACACATTCACACGTGCGCGGAAACACACACATTCATACGTGCTCAGGCACAGACTCAGTCACACATGCGCAGACACAAACACACACACACACACACACGTGTGCGGGCACACCCATGCACGGGCACACAGACACCCACGTGTACGCGGGCACAGACACGCACGCCCGCGCGCACACACCCTCTGCGTATCTGAGCGCGTCCCTCACACTGGGTCTTATTTGCACCTTCTTCCGGATTTTATATGTGAAGAGATTTTTATATAGATTTTCTCCTTTGTTCCAAACACTTTATACTTTTGAGCAATCCTCGGTGGCCGCGTCCCGGCTGCCCAGAGCCGGACCCTTCTCCCCACCCTACCTCCCACTAACTACTTCCTGTCGCGGAGGCCCCCCCGGGCCCTGGACCCTGGACAGAGAGACAGACGGAGAGGGGGAGCCGGCAGCGGGCCCCAGCCCCCTCGCGATCCAGAGCCGTGGGCCCGCCCGAGGCCCCCATGAAGATGCGTCTCTCCTGCCCCAAGAACCTTCTTAACTTAATAAACTGTCCCGTCAGCTCTGGCATCCTGGTGGGTGTCTGGACGTGGCTTCACTGCCCGGGCCCCGCAGGCAGAGGCGGGTGGTCGCCCACGGCTTGCTGGAGAGACCAAGTCGCCACCTGCCCCACCCGGGCATGAGACAGGGTGTCCAACCCTGGGCCCCTCAGCCCCATGCCACGGGCACTTGAGGAAGAAAGAGCCTCGTTTCTGGGCCCCCGAGGGCCAGGCCTGACTGTCTTCAGACAAGATTGGCCGAGGGAACCAGATGCAGGCCTGAGGGGGCCGCCTCTGCCCCCTGGTCCTCCTTGGGCACCTCCTCTTGGCAGAGGTTGTCGCATGAAGGAAACGGGGTTCCTTCGAGGGAGGCACATGCACCTGTGGCCTGCGACCTTCCGTGGTGCCATCAGGGAAGGACCCCCGCGGGCAGTTGGGGGAGGGTCAGTGCAGAAACAGTGATGCCACCCCAGCTGGACATTGGTACAGGCAGGGGAGAGGCATGCTGGGACTCCGGGAGGGGCATCAGGAACGTCCTTATTCTTAAAAGGGGTACACGGGGGGGGGGGGGCCGGAGAGACAGTACAGTGGGTACGGTACTTGCCTCTGCATGCCTGGCGCCCCGTATGACCCCCAGAGCCTGGCAGGAGTGATCCTTGAGTGTCGAACCAGGAGTCCACCCTGAGCACCACTGATTGTGGCCCTAAAATAAACATAAAAGGCGGGGGGGGGGGGCGGGCGCAGGGACGAGAAGCCGGTCTCTGGCCCCTCTGCCCTTGGCCCCATGCCAACAAAGCTTCCGCCCTGCCATCCCCTTGCCAGCCCTGCGGAAAGCAGCAGCATGGAAGGAAGAACCAGGACCCCTCACCGCAGCCCCCCTCCCCCTGCCCTGCAGTGGCCTCAGTGGGACTATCTGCAAGGTCCCGTCAGTACGGAGGTGTGTTCCCAGCCAGGACACAGGCCACAAGGACAGGGCCGTGTGTGTGTGTGTGTGTGTGTGTGTGTGAGAGAGAGAGAGATGGGCCATGGACAGGGCTGTGTGTGTGTGTGTGTGTGTGTGTGTGTGTGTGTGTGAGAGAGAGAGAGAGAGAGAGATGGGCCATGGACAGTGCTGTGTGTGTGTATGTGTGTGTGTGTGTTTGTGAGAGAGAGAGAGATGGGCCATGGACAGGGCCGTGTGTGTGTGTGTGAGATGGGCCATGGACAGTGCCGTGTGTGTGTGTGTGTGTGTGTGTGTGAGAGATGGGCCATGGACAGGGCTGTGTGTGTGTGTGATGGGCTGTGCAGGCCTGCACGACGGTCCCCAGAGCCCTTCTGTGAGCAAGCAAGCAACACACCAGGGGGTCAGTCACTCCTGAGCACCCAGGTGTGGCCCCCCCACAAAAAACCAATGACAAACCAGGTCATGACCCAGGCAGGGCTACAAAGCGGGCATGGGCCTGCTCTGCGCTATCCCTCCGCTGCGCTCCTTTGGTTTGGGGACACCATGCCCCAGCTCTGGAGACCCTCAGGGCCGGCCGCTCCCAGCAGTCAGACCTGACAAGTGCTCCCGGCAGACTTGGGGAGCCGCTCCCCACGCCAGAGACCGCCCCCAGCAGTGCTCAGGGGACTGTGTGGTGCCAGGGGTTTGGGGCTCCTGCATGTGAGTCATTTACCCCGACGCCTGGGGTGGGGCTTTTGTTAGGGGCCCCCCCACTCCCCAGATCTGTGCTCAGGAGTGACCCCTGGTGGCAGCCAGTCACAAGCACGGCTGTCCCCTCGGCCTAGTTCTCTCCTGCGGCTAGTGTGGGGGACCCCCCTGGCCTGGCCTCAGCTCTCTGCCCTCAGCCTTGTCGGCCTGCAGCCCAGCCCGCTTGCGGGGGTCCGGGCACAGGAAGCCCCCGTCTGCAGGCCACTGTCCAGACCCTGTCCTGGCAGCGCTCCCACACCATCTTCTCCCCGGAACATGCTTGCCTCAGCCAGCCTCCGTGTTTGGGCACCCTGGGGACCTAGTGTGGGGCGCACACCTCATCTCCAGGCAATCTGGGAGGCCGGGGACCCTGCAGTGGGCAGCCCCAGAGATCCACACTCACACCAGCACCCCAGACCAGCAGCTCCCCGGCCCGGATGCCAGGCTCTGACCCACTGCCGTGTCCCCGTGCCCTGCTGGGATCGAGTCCAGGCTCCACCGGGCTGGAGAGGAGAGTGGGCAGGACACCAGCCTGCATACGGCCTCCCGGCTGCGGCCCACAGTCCACCTCTGAGGATGTCCCCCAAGGGTTTGCGCTCCAGTTCTTTGGGCTCCCAGGCCCGAGCTAGATTTTTTGATTCATTTATTCATATCCTGGAGTGATGGCACAGCAGTAGGACATTTGCCTTGCCCGCAGCCAGCCTGGCCAAGCTGGGTTCGATTCTTCCGCCCCTCTCGGAGAGCCCGGCAAACTACCGAGAGTATCTCGCCTGCATGGCAAAGCCTGGCAAGCTACCCGTGATGTATTCAATATGCCAAACACGATGGAGACGTTACTGGGCCTGCTAGAGCAAATCGATGAACAACGGGAGGACAGTGTGTTTTTTTGTTTTTATTTTTTATTTTGGGGTCACACCTGGCGATGCTCAGGGGTTACTCCTGGCTCATGCACTCAGGAAATTACCCCTGGCGGTGCTCAGGGGGACCATATGGGATGCTGGGAATTGAACCCAGGTTGGCCGCGTGCAAGGCAAACGCTCTCCCCGCTGTGCTATTGCTCCAGCCCTATTCCTTTCTTTTAACACCCAGTGGTGCTCAGGGGTTACTCCTAGCAGACTGAGGGACCCCCTGGGGTGCTGGAGCTCAAGCCCCAGCCAGCTGCAGGCAAGGCAGGCGCCCTCCCCACGGTATCATCTCTTCGGTCCTGTGTGTGTGTTGATCGACTTACAGACCGAGGCGACTGCCCGTCAGGTTGCCCTGCAGCCTCAGCCCCACCCACATGTTGGCAGAGCGCCGGGGCTCCCCATAAACCAGCGGCAAAGCCCAGGCACCCATACCTGCTTCCGGCAGCTGGAAGGGCGTGCCAAGGGTGAGTCAGCGGTCAGCCGCATGCCACCTGGACTTGGTAAGCCCGGGCCCCGCGGGCTGAGGCCGCCGAGGAAACAAACTTGAACAGCTGGTGTCCCCGGGGACGCTCTCGCAGCCCTTTGAAGTGCCCACAGCTGTGCCCATTTCACAGAGCTGGAAACTGAGGCCCAGAGAGGGGCTCCCTGCGGGGACCTGTGTGTCCCCAGAGCCCAACTCCTGTACTCCGGGCCGAGTCCCCTCCCGGCACCACCCCCAGACCCGTGCTGCCAACTGTCTCTCGGTCCACCCATCTCTGTGAGCTCCACGGGGCACAGGGGCATAGGGCATGGCTCACACATCTCCTGCCCACCTCAGAAGCTGGGCCCCCAGGCATCTCCCTGCAGGTGGCCTTCAGAGCTGACCCCGGGGTGCTCTCATTGGAGGTCACCCGGGAGGACTGGGTCAAGAGAGCCCTGCTATCTTTGTGAGTCATTTCCACAACCCTGCCTCCGTTTCCCTTCTGTTTTTTCTTTTTTTTCTTTTTGGGCCACACCCGGTGATGCACAGGGGTTTCTCCTGGCTCTGCACTCAGGAATGACTCCTGGCGGTGCTCGTGGACCTATGGGATGCTGGGAATCGAACCTGGGTTGGCCTCGAGCAAGGCAAATGCCCTCCCCGCTGTGCTATCACTCCAGCCTCAGTTTCCCTCCTTAAATAGAGCAAGATTTGGGGCTGGAGCGATAGCACAGAAGGGTAGGGCGTTTGCCTTGCACGCGGCCAACCCGGGTTCAATTCCCAGCATCCCATAGGGTCCCCTGAGTACCACCAGGAGTAATTCCTGAGTGCAGAGCCAGGAGAAACCCCTGAGCATCGCTGGGTGTGGCCCAAAAAGCAAAAAATAAATAAATAAAATAAATAAATAGAGCAAGATTTCCTCGTGGGGGCCAGAAGAGCTGGGGACCCTCTATGCGGGGGCTATTCCAGGGGGTCCTGGTCTCAAGGCTTTCTGCCCCACTCTGGTGCTGCAGACCAGCTGCTCCCCAAGACCTGCCTCTCAAAGGTTGCTACACCCCCCCTGCCCCTCACCCCATCGGTTACCCTTGTTACAATCCCCCTGGGCACCAGACCCAGGGCAGCCATCGGCCATCTCTGCAGGCCCTTAGTGCTGGGGGAGGCGTGCGACGGGGACCCCTCCCCCGGCAGCATCCTGGCTCTAGCCACCCTGAACCCCAACTAAATTCAGCCTCCCCTGAGTGAGGCCCTAGAGTGGGCGTGGGGCCAGGTGGGTCTGATTGAAGGTGATTCATGGTCACAAGCTTCCCCAGGGCCATCCGAAGGAGAAGCCTGGAGGGGTATGGCTGAAGGCGGTCATGGGGGTGTGGCCCCCACCCTCAGGACTCAGGAGACCTGTGTCTCCAGGATGACAGGCCCCAACTCGGGGCCCCAGCCTCACACACTCACTGGTCCATGCACCCACCTCCTCTGTGGAAGAACACTGCACACACCAAGGGCAGTGGGAGGCACTTCATGCAGTTAATAAAGCAACGAGGGGCTGGAGCGATAGCACAGCGGGGAGGGCGTTTGCCTTGCATGCGGCCGACCCAAGTTCGATCCCCGCCATCCCATATGGTTCCCCAGAACCACCAGGAGTAGTAACCCTGTGCATCGTCAGGTGTGACCCAAAAAGGAAACATTAAAAGAAAAGGGGGGGTCAGCTGGGGCTCAGGCTTGGGAGGGCCCATCCTCACTTCTGTCTATATATGTGTGTATACTTGGGGGGCTTGTTTGGGGTCCCACTCGGCAGCGCTGGGGGCCACTCCTGGCTCTGTGCTCAGGGGTGCCAGGAGTAATTCCTGAGTGCAGAGCCAGGAGTCACCCCTGAGCAGAGCCAGGTTTGGTCCCAGCCTCCTCTCCCCCGCCCATGCATACACACACACACACACACACACACACAGCAGTGAGGGGACAAGAAATGGTTACAGGGGACCCCAGACT